GGAGTTTACTTGTAGGGACAGTCAATTGTTGGAGCTGGAGGAGTGTAGTTTAGTGTTTGCCAGATGTACTGGTTATGGACCACATTAACTGAAGTGCATCAGTCATCTTGGAGTGTTATTTTGTATTTTTAGGTTGTATCAAGGGTGTAGAACATCTGGTCCACCACTGTGTGTGTGTGTGTACTCACATATACACACACCTGTGAGCATATGATAGCACTGCATTAAAAACTGACTGCAGATTGTATAGATAGCCCAAGCTAGCTTGAAACTGGCTTCCTGACTTGTTGGATTGGTTTTATAATTCCATGCTGCTGTGGCTACCCTTGGGTTATTATTACCTAAGCTAGCTAGGTTAGTGCTAACTTGGAAATGTCTAGATGAGCTGCATGTAGATGTAGCCTAAATTTAATAGACTTATTCTCTAATATTTCCTTTTCCTCTTGTTAACTGATATTGGTACAATCCATTGATTCTTTTGATTACTTTTTCATTTTCTGTTTGGTGACATGAATACCTGTAAAGCAGCTATATTTCTCTGGTATATTGATTTAACTGCACTCAGAATTTACTGAGAGATCTTTTAACTTAGTGTGCATTACTTTATGCCTGGCTAGTTAAAATTTCCCATTACCATTTGTGTGCTGTTTACATATGTAAATGTTTTTGATTTCATTACATGACACTCATGTTTCACTGGAATACGTACTGCTGCTGGGAGGAGGAGTGATTCTTCCAAAACTATGATATCTATTACCAGCATCTCCATCAGTCTCCATGTATCTAATCAAGAAGTTGCAGACCAAACCTTTTGTCCAGGCAGTTATCGGTGTGTTATTAATCTCTGGATTCCTTAGAGGATGGATTATACCTGTCTTGCTGCATTTTCCCAGTACAAAAAATGCACCTGGCTAATTTGCTTAGCAGTGACTTGCAGAGTAAAATAACAAATTAATCAAAACAGATATTAAGACCATATGAATAAAGTAAAATTAGAACTAGACTATCAGACTGTGGATCTCTTGGCCTTGTCTAGATAGTGCAACTCACTCCACAGTGCTGGACAGACTTTTTGTTTCTTCCCAGGGCCCTTGCAAAGTTGAAAGGTGACTTTTCTGATACACTTTCTCTGTACCAAAGAAAGGGAAACTGGAATTTATTTCACTATCATTGTTAATTCTCAAACTGCAGTGCCACGGCTAATGTAACTTGTGGTTGTTTTGTTTTGTTTTGTTTTGTTTTTTTATTCTGGCCCCCAAGTGTTTGGCTATTTCTTAGCAATAGAGCTGTTATTGTACCAGTTATCCAGAGTCATTTTGAACACGTGTATGTATTCAATACAGATGGATCACATTATTTATAACAATTTATAACAATTATAATTTGTATTGTTACAAATAACATGATTGGTCTGTGTTGTGCTGTTCTCACAAAGTTCAGAGTTCATATCCAGGGTTTTGTTTAGGTAAGTTAGTTTATCTGTCTGACTCTTCTTATCTGTCCTTCCCTCCAGAATGTAGCATGTATGTATTTAGGGAATGTATTTAGCATGTAAGTAGGGAAAAAGGGAACTAAAATTGAACATAATGAGACATTTAAACTCCATTTAAAAGATTGTGTTGGAAATAACATATGAGCCTTGAAAGCTATTCTTAGAAAGAGAATGTAGGTGCAGTTCAATAATTTTGCCACACAGTGTCACAATTGGACTTTACTTTTAGTCTGTGTTTCTTTCTGTTGTAGATGAAGGTATTTACAAGGCTGGTGAACGGTCTGAAATGTTGGGGGCAGCAGAAGTCCAAGAGGATGAAGACACTCGGGTAGAGGTGCCAGTGGATCAGGTATTGTGGGAAGAAGTTCATCTTGTACATTCGGTGTTGTTCAGTTTCCTTCCTCCAGTTTCCTTTGCCTGCATGTTCTTTCAGGGTGCATGCTTTAAATCCTTTTCCTAAGAGCAGTCTTTGCAATCCCCAGATTTATCCAAATGCCTCCCAATTTTCAGAGAATGGTTACTGTACAAGGAAGACCCAGTTTGTATGGTGAGCTGCACCATACTATTTTCAGGATCTGTGCTTCAGACTTTACTTGGACTTTGTCTACCGTTGAAGGGGTTTGCTGAGTAGGAATACCACTAGAGCTATTCTGGCAAACTCCTCTATTGGAGATTCACATTATCATGGAAGGGAAAAAGTGCTTCTGGAGCTATAGGTGCTTGCTTGCTGTTAACTATTTGTGCGTTGGGACTTTCTCCAGCATAGCTATGGCACTGAGGGGGCATGATATTTTTCCTCCAGTCTTAACTAACATAGTTATGCCAGCCAAACTTTTAAGCATAAAGCAGTCCTCAGGCTACCTAGTAATTTCCTTGGAAGGAGGAAGGTGAAGAAAGCCCTTTAAGTGATCTGGTGGTACCCAGGGGAACATTTCTTTGGAAGTACCTGCAGTTAGGTACAGTTTGGTTTAAAAGGTAAAACAATTGTTCCTGTGTAGTATATGGGCATTCAGCTTTCTTCTTTTTTAAAAGTAACTCATCATGTCATCCTGGGTTTTGTTTTTTCTCTTCTCTCTTTTGTTTCCACTTTTTTTCTTTTGCATAACTTAGTGATCTCTTTCATATTTCTTTCCCCTCTACTTTTTTCTTGCTTCCTGTTCCACATTGTCCCTGCATTGGGCCTTCACCCTGCTTCCTCATGACTTGACTTTCTCACCTTAAAGCCCTTTCCACTTGCCTAAGATAACACTTCAGTCCCTTCCTCTGTAAAATTTCCAGAGCTATTCATCCTTTGTTTATCAGCATATATATACACACACATGCACATGTCCCCAATGAAAAGGCTGCTGTATGTTGTAGTGGGCTTAATTAGCCCACATAGCTCCCAAAAAGGGAGGAAGGAGGACCCAGGAAACTCTAGGCCAGTTAGTCTTACCTCCATCCTAGGTAAGCTTTTTGAGAGAATTATCCTGGCACATGTCCACGAGGGGCCAGCAGGGGAGATTTATGCTTAGGGGCAACCAACACAGGTTCATTAGAGGCAGGTTCTGTCAGACCAACTTGGTGGCCTTCTACGACCAGATCACCAAATCCTTAGATGCAGGGGTAGCAGTGGACGTAGTATTTCTGGACTTTAGGAAGGCCTTCGACACTGTCTCTCACCCCCTTCTCATTAAAAAACTAGGGGACTGTGGCGTTGACACCTGTACAGTCATATAAGTCGCTAACTGG